ACACACATATAATTGTATACCCAATCAATCTCTATATACAATCACCAATGCAATTGTTGAGATGAATGGGTAATCAAATACCATATCAGGTAATAGATTACTTGCATTATGACTCTTTCATAATTGAATTACGTCTTACACTCCCGCAATCAATTGCCCTTACTCTTTGTGTTCAAAATTTAGTTTTCAAATGAATGGGTAATCAAATACCATATCAGGTAATAGATTACTTGCATTATGACTCTTTTATAATTGAATTACGTCTTACACTTTAAAAATCTATCTTTTACGAAATAAAAAAAGAACTTTTTTTAATAAAATAAAAAAAGAACTTTTTTTAATAAAATAAAAAAAGTACATTAGAGAAAAAGAATACTTTTAGAAACAAGAATCAAAGGCTGATCAAAGAAACATTTTCTGAAATACTAAGAAGTGCAAAGATTGAACATCTATTTTTGAAGGAAGAAATTCAAGAAGTGAATTCAATTGTGAAAGATCAATGTCTACACAAATTAGGTGATATCTTTCTAATCTTTTAAACTATATTTTCGTTTTGTAGGGTGTATCTCTTGAGATAGGATGTCTCAACAAGAGATCTTGAAATCTTGAGTGGGATTTCTCGAGTAATTTCTGTGGGATGCAAGAATTTCTGTTTTTTTAGTCTTGTAGTGTCAAGATTGATGTGTGTTAGCATTGTTGTAATATTGTGTGTGCATAGTGTTTGTAAACAATATTATAGTAAATGATCTTTGATTTAGTGGGATGCTAAATCAAAGAAAATTGGATGTAGGCCAAGTGGATAGTTGAACCAGTATAAATTTCTATGTTCTTTATCTTCTTACCCTTATCTCTTTAATAATTTTGTTATGAATCTGATTAAAGAATTCAAAGATTTATGAGATATGTCGTTTCAATTACCACTCATACTCTGAATATTGTTCTTCTAATTGAAATTGATTAATAAGTTGGTAATATAAACTTAACCTTGATTACAAGTGACTGATTTGTTGCAATAACATTGAAATTCTTATATATTGGCATTGTATCTTGTAATCTGCTGTAATTTGTTAAATCAAATTGAGTAAAGGTTGAGTATTGAATATCTTGGTAGGTTATAATCAAGAAATTTTGAAAATAAAGTCATCTTAGGATAGAATCTATTCAACCCCCCTTATAGATTCTAGTAAACGGGGACCAACAACATTCCCTTACGATTTCCCAAGGGATCCATAGGGATCTCGATTCATACAATTACAACCTCAAAACATGCAATTGATCATCCATTCAAATAATTCATGCAATTAATTATGAGTAAGAAGAATAAAAGACAAATAGAAGCATTAGGGGAAGCCCCTCATACACAGGTATACAACACACGCAGAAGATTGAGGACCAATTTCACTACCCAACATACAAACTCACACCTAGAGCAGGGTTTCTCACTTCCCCTTACCTGGATAAGCTCTAAACAACGGGTGCACGGCTTCGAAGTGGTTTCCTTCCTGCTCCTACTCTCCAAGCTTTAAAGTGCGTAGATGAAAATAGAGGTGTAAGAGTCTTTGATCAAAAACTACTCTTGAAAAGGAAGTCCTAACCCCACTTTAATCATCTAGTTAAAACATATTAACCTAAGTTGTAAATTCCTTCTCTTTTAATAAAATATTATAATAACCTTTAATAAAATATCATATATTATACTCTAAAATATATGAAATAATAAGTAAATATTTAACAGCCACAATTAATAAAATAAAAATACTAAAATTAATAAAATATTTATATTATCTTTTATGAAAAACGGAATGTTACATATTTAATATTAAGTTAATAACTTTTAACTAATATATTAATAAATTTCTTTAGAGTAAATTAATATAATACTCCATAAAGTTTCATTACCATACTTTACTGGACTTGAGTTAGACTAATAAATTTTAGTTTGTATTCAACCTAAATGATTAAATGATGTCAATTATAAAATGTAACTTACAAATAAAATTTTAATAAATTATATATGATATTTTTTGTTAAATAGAATTATCAATTATATAATAAAAGAATAAACTTTTTATTTTTTGGTAACGGGAGTTAAGAAGTAGACAAATTAAAGAAAAAGAATAATATATATATATATAATCAATTATTTACATGCAAAATCAATCTTTAAAATTGAATATTCAATTTTTTTTAAACACTCACTTCTATTACACGAATATATATATATATATATATATATATATATATATATAAAAGGTTGTTACTATGGTACCTCATAAATTGAGATGTTTTAGTATAATTCTTTCCATATTGAGTTACATGTTTCACATTTATATTGTTTTTCTCTTTACATTTCAACCACTTGCATGTACTATATTAGTTATTTAATAGAAGTATGAAAATACAATTTTAAGACCTATGTGACAAGGAGAGAAAAATATTTGTAATATTAATTTGATCCATTAAAAAATGAGATCTAATTTCTATTTTGTTTGTTCACCAATATCAAATGTCTATAATACTTCCAACCAATTACTTAACACAAGTACGAAATTATGACATGACAAGAAATTAAATAAAAATAAATTATTAATTAAAAAATTCATAATTTCAAAACTCATCTTGATGGAGGATGATGGAGGAGGCCTATGGGCTAAGGGCCCAACTACTAGGGCTATGGCAAGAAGGATGCATGAAGAGTGGGCCCAAGCCCAAGGAAAGCCCATTACTTTATTTTGTTGGGCTTTGACTCAAGCCCCGTTAGATTAGGGTTAGTATAGGATTGGGCCTTAGTGCCTTGTATTTCTTTGGGCCTTGTATTTTCGACCACTTAGATTAAGAATTTCATTTAAAGGTCATTTGAATTTAGGGTTAATTAAGGTTGCATGTGAATTGTCATTAGAATGTGATTAGTTTTGCATTTGATAGGCATTTCGGCCATGTGCACACATGCACATGGTGTGACCGAAATTCAATTCAAATGAAAGGCAAATCACATTCCAAATGAGGTGCACATGGGAGGTTCTGGGTTTGGCTCCCAAAATTTGAATTTTGAATTCAAATTTTGGGCGCCTAAGGTTAAGTAAACCATACCATGGTTTACTTAACCCTAGGCTAACCCTTGGTTCACTTTAACCTAATTTTTTCCCTATATATTCTATATGGCCGAGACTTGTAGCCACTTTTGGATTAATTGAATGAGTTTTCACCATTTGAAACCTCTCCCTCCGAAAGTCTCTCAACCTACCTCTACCCTCCTTGAGCTCCTCTCTTTGTAGAGCTAGGTTGCTAATCTTCTTCCGGACTTAGCTTGTTCAAGTCTAGGTCACATTGATTCTTCTTGGAGTCTCCTTCCTTGTCATACTTCCAAGGAATCAAGAAGGATTTGAAGGTGTTCTTGAGGATTCACCAAGTGGAACCTCATCAAAGGACCATCCACAAAGAGGTCACACATGAAGGTCATTGGACCTTTAACCAAGTCCATTTTAACTAAGTTCATGGTTAGGAGGCTATAGGAAGTGTTTGTTAGACATATGCTCTATATGAGCATTGAGTATGATTCTTCTTATTTGTTCCTTAGTCTCTATTGTACATACCTTCTATAATATTTTGTATATAGTAAATACTTGTATAAGTTTATTTTGCCTTTGTATTTGTAAGATACTTTTATCTTTCTTTGTAGGTTATGTTGCTTGGAGGCTTTTACTTCATTTGACCTTGTATTAAGAGTCAGATTTTCTTATTTTTAGTTTTAGTAATGGGGTAGCAAATAACAAGTGTATAGGTGAAACTAACAATTGGACCTTTAGTAGACCTAAACCAAATTTTACCTATTAAACTTGTTCTCCTCCATTAAATTTGAGGAATTGATTTAGCTAAATCTCACCATCATTTGGCCGAGTTTCTTAAAGTTTCTCGAACACACTTGCCTCTTGACTTGCCAAAGGGACAATGTGACACTTGATACCCTATAATTAACTCTTCTAGATCTAAGTATCCTCTCCTTATCTCTTAGGAGACAATATCCCTATCTTGTCCCTACCTTGTCTAGTTTGCACTATAAACTTCTCTACCATTATATATTAGATTGTTTCCCTTGTAAAACTCACTTTTGTTCACTAAGTTTTAAATTCTCTTCATTTTTTTAAATTCTCTTATCCTCTTTTTAAGAGTGTGATAAGAGTTGAAATAGTTTATCTTCCACCTAGAAGTGAGATCACTTGAAGAGAGTTCTTTGTGAAACCAGAGGTCTTTTCCTCCATTAAAAACCTTGAAGAAACTTAAGAAGTGTCAAGAAGCTAAAGATCTAAAGAAAAACTTGAAAAAGAAGTCATATCAATCCGATTGTTCCACAAGATTTTCATCACATATCATTTAGGTAGGTAAAAAAGAATTTCTCTCTCTCTACACATAAATTTTAAAAAAAATCCAGGACTGTTAGAATAACCGTGAGGAACGGGTTCACATAAAAAGCATCCAATGTAACCCAAATAATACTAAATACAAATAATCAAATAAAAAAAATGTTTGTACTATCTAGTTGATTCAATGTTATCCCACATCATCAAAGGATGTAGAATGCATGAGTTAAATGAAAATAGCAACACACTCACTATAACTTCAAGGGACCGAGTCAAATTGGAACTAAGCAAATCCACAGACCAGACAGTGAAGCATCGTGTGACTAGTGTAATTAAATGAAACAATAAAACCTTAAAATTATAATTTGGTTACAGTTGTGAAAGTCATCCATTATATTATAGCACAAAAACTGAAAAATCCTCGGAAATATTGGTAGCTCAAAATTACATGGATACTTCACATCAAGAGTAACTAATACCTGTTCTAAAATCACCAACCATTATCAACATAAACAACATTCAAATACAGACTTGTTAAGTGAAATACCATATCCCATAATTGAATAGGTACACAACCTCTAATCCTTTAAGTGCACGGGAATATGTAGCTTAACATGTTTTCAAAATCTTTAACTAGCTAAGTAAGGAGGTAATAAAAGTCCATTCTTTAAGAATTAAACTATTTTACAACATTCTCGGAAATGAACTTCCCTGGACATATTGTACTATTTAGTTTTACATGAGCAAAATTGAACGTGAACCGAATAAAACAATCGTGAATAACTGATGATGGATGACAATGCTTACAAGGGATAACAAGGGTGAATAACTGATGGTGGATGACAATGCTTACAAGGGAGCGCGCAGTAATACTACAAAGGTCGGTTATTACATACAAGAATTATCGATCACTAAATATTTAAGGGGATTTGGCAGAAAAGCGCCGCATTCCATATCACTACACAGCACCTACTTTAATTGTTCATCCAAACTTGTCACAGCTGCCAGCAAATAACAGGGACATTTCCAGACACTGATGAGCAACCATTCTCTGCAAGCAAACTTATGATATGTAGAAGTGTTGTACTCACTTCAAATGCGAGCAGTGTGTAATTAAACATAAGCCATATAAGAAAATCATTTTATCTCTAAAGAGTAAGAACAACTGCACAACCCAGTGAGTCAAATTAAAAGGGGGAAAACACATGATTGAAAAGATGTTAACTCCACCTGTTTCCAAAGACTTGTAGAGATCTAGTTGCTTCAGTATTCTGCCACAGCAAACACAGGATGCAGAATGCGGGAGTCAAATGAAAAAAGCAACACAAACAATATAGCTTCAAGGGAACGAGTCACATGGGAACTGAGCAAATCCACATAGACCAGATAGTGAAGCATCATATACTTACATCGTAAAATGCCAAACAGCATGTAAAACATGTTAAAGATGCCGGCAGTAATTTAATGAAAGAAAATTTAAATTTTGAATTACTATATGATATGCATTTCTGAAACTCAGCATTAATGTTATAGCACAAAAACTGAAAAGGCCTCAGAGATCTTGGTGGAAAAGGATCATCAAATGGGTAATTCCCATCAAGAGTAGCAAATATCTTCTAGCATCACCGGCCATCATCAAAACTCAAATATAATTTAAAGCAGATCAACGATAAAGGGAAATGAAACCAATTCATAAAAAGAAGTTTCACACCAAAACCACAATTTCCACATCTTCAAAACTAAGCATTACAAAACAAGAGTATGAATTTGATGTTGTCAGAAGTAGCTGGTTGTGAAATCATATATAAACATCAGTGGGAATCCGATTGATTTTTATCATCACTCAACATCATGAATTCAAAACCCAAGTACAAATCTGAACCTTTTTTTAATTCAATTTAATGATTAAAACTAACAGATATTTTATCAAATACCAAAAGAAATGTATCTACCGTGTCCCCGAAAAACCCTATAAAGATAAAGGACCCTATAAAACTAACATGTTACATTGCATTAATATAGCCTAACGCTGGGGCCAATGACATAACAATGAGTAGTCAGAGACTTGTTGCATTAGGCGCATAATCACAATTTGAATAGGATTTAAAATAAAATAAAATAAAATAACGAAAGAAAAGAATGGTAACCCAGGTTGTGTAGGACTCAGAGAGTTGCTTTCTGTGCTCAAAGATGAAACCTTTTTAGAAAAGATTCATCTCATACAAGAGGTGTCAGAATATATGAAGCAATGATCATCTTCGTCCAACCAGAAATTAACAAGATAAGAAACACATTCTAGGATTTTAAAATATGCGGCAGAAGGAAGAGAAAGGAATAACAACAAGAGTGAAGCAGAGGAAGGCTTCTATTAGGGTTTGTGGAAGTGACGAGAGGAAGTCACATTTATAGGGCTATTATTAGGGTTTCCGCTTCTTTACCTTTTTGTTCACGTTATGGGCTTTTGCGGGCCGGGTCAAGAATGTTCTCTTCTTAGTGCCTCTCTCATGTCTAGGATTCATTTACTTTCGATTTGAGAATGGATTCATTATATGATAAGTGGGAAAAATAAATTTAAAAATATTTAACTAATATTTTTTTTTTTACTGATTTAACTAATATTATTATATCTATATATAATTAATATCGTTTATATTTATATAAAAGAATTATTTGTATTTAATTGCATATTTTAATATTATTTTTTATTATATTTAATAGAATTTTAAATAATTGTCTAATTAAAATAGATCAGATTTAAGCGGTGAGTAATTGAGAATATTTTTATATAAAAGGGAATATTTTAAAATTAATTAATTATATACTATTATTTAATTATAAAAGAGGAGAAATTAATGTGATTAAAATTGTTTTTATCCACGGTTTAATGTGAGTTACAATTTTTAGAGTTCTCTATATATAAAATAGTAAGACTGGGGTTGTCTCTCATAAAAGATTCATGTTAAGGGAGAACATTAGCAAAACATAGATAAGTGATGAGAGAAAATTCGTTGTCTAGTTCACATATACTTGACAGCAATTTTTAATTATAATTAGAAATTCGTTCATTGTTGAATCATATTATTTTTGGATAGAAGGTTCAAAGGATATGATTATTCGTTTTCAATGATTGGATCATCTAAAGGAGGTTTAGAGTGAGAGAAAAGTGTTTCACAATAACAATTCTATTTTTAGGGGTTTTCAACTTCTTGCTTCTCATTGAGAAGGGAAAATCAGAGGTATGCAAAGAAGACCTCGGAGATCTACACCCAAAGATTGGCATCCATTAAGGTAAGGGAGAGTGAGAACCTTACTCTAAGGTGTGAGTTATCTGCGGGGTAGCAAGTATGCTAAAAATAGTTATGGATGTATGTAACATACTTTATATGTATAAAGATATGACTCACTTAGGTTTTTGCATATAAAATTATATAACTTTTAAATTATCATACTCCTTTAATTATGCTTATTTCTTAGATAAAAATTCAATCTATCAATATATTTTGAAAAATGTAATTGAAATAATTCTAGTTACATGTTTTATTATGCACTAATTTAAATAGTATTGCATTATACATGTTTTTCAAAAAAATTTATTATATTTTGCCAAACTTATTAAATTTAAATAAATTAAACGTTAAAAATCTAAATATATTTGTAATGATTTTGGATGTCACATAAGATACAAATTGTCTATAAGATATTATAAATGAGATGAAATATATAGTCTATCTCATATACATTAAATATTTATTATTTATTAAAATTAAAGATAAAGTTTGTTTTGAATGCTTCATTCCTAAACAGATTGAATCACAAAGCCGTCTTGGAACTCATAAATTTGTTAAAGAGAAGAACCATGCTTTCTGTTAGAACTAAGATCCTTGAAATTATGGAGAAATATAGATAGTCATTCTACAATTGCTCTACACTAATATTGCTTCTTCAAGCTCCATTTGGTATGAAAAATTGATAAGTAGCCTCCTTAATTACATTAGAGGTATCATTTGGTGAACGATAAGATATCTCTCATGTCTAAGAAGTTCAAGGAGATGTTAAAAAAGAAAGGAAAATTGAGAAACTTCCACAAAAAGAAGGATAGGTTTAGAAAGCTAGTTAAACTAACAACAAGGAAGTTGTTTGTTATGAGTGTAAGAAGCCTGGTCACATGAAGGTTGATTTCCCTTCTCAAAGAAAGAGGTGATCTTCTAATAAGAAGACTAAAAATAGCCTAATGAACACCTAGGAAGATCTGGACAACAACAATAATAATAGTTTAAATGATGAAAATGCCAACATATGCCTCATGGCAGACGTTAAGTCAAGCACTACTGATATAGAGGTAAAAACTGTGATGGAAACTTGGTTGGAAATCCGGATTGATGTGGAATTCCCTTCAAGCTCCTCCCTAGATCTTGGACTCCTTGATTCTTCCTAGGCTTGGTTAAGGTCTCCTAAGGAGGAGGAGGCCTTAAGACCACCACGGTTGGTGGAGAAACTCTCCCAAGAGGCGCCACTCCTTGTTGAAGAGATAAACCCCTTCAATTCTCACCACACTCTTCTATGAAGGGATAAGAGAATTGGATGAACTCAAAGAGGTTTAGGGACTTTTGGAAGAGAGAAATCTGAACTCTATTCAGAATATACAATCTCAAGTACATCAAAAGTGTTTTACAAAGAGGGAAAAACGAAAATATAGGAGTAGGAAGCTTGGAGAGTAAGCTAGTCTTAACCATGGTTCACTAGGAACCATGGTAAGGTCTAGCTAACCACCCATGGTCTAGAGGCTTGGAGAGCAAGCTCATCACTTAGCTTGCTTGGTAAGCTATCTAATTTTATCCACAAATCAAACTAGCGTGTGTCAGAACAAGTACACCTACCAGCCAGGAAAAGACAACACCTCTGCAGCAACAATACCAAGAAAGTATAAAATATCTCAAGAAGTGCAGATTCAGCAAGCAAACATTAAATGCTAAGTCAGAAGAATTAAATGTCACAATTCATGAAGATTATACAAAATAGATGAAAGAATCAGATGATAAGAAATCAAGCATAAGAACGAAGTCTACTATTACCGAAGTGAGACATCGAAGTATCAGACGAAGAAATAGTCAAGGCGAGACATGAACCAGTGAAGTCGAGATAGATGAAGCAAATAACATAGGAAATCAATTGTCAAGAGAAGAATAGTTGGAATACAAACATGCGCCAGATGATCATAAAATACTCAGAAAGAGACTTGTCTAGTACAACTATCATAAAGCGCAAATCAGATGAGACATATGTCTAAGATAAAAAGAAAGTCAACCATGCATTAGACGAAGGACAACACAGACTGAAAGACACTCCAGATGGAAATAATGTGTGTCTATTCACATTGTTAATCAGACCAAAGAAAAGTTCAAGCACTAAACTCAGACGTTGAGGCAAAACTCAAGATTGAAATGCACAGGACCAACAGACAAAAATGAAGACTACCACGCAAGCAAATAAAGAATCACGCCTCAAGAAACAAGACAAAATATCGTTTATGAACATACCAAAGCTTTCAACGTAAAACGCGTATGAAGGAACAATAAAAAAGAGAAACATGCAAAAGCAGAGCATGCATGTGTCAGAAAAAGTGATTACTTTTTCAAAAAAGGACAACGGCTATATTGCTGCATGACCAGAAAAAGACAACTTATTTCTAAAGTCAAACACTACAGCAACAACACAGAAAAAAATGCACGCAATATCTAAGAATAGGAAGCAACATTTAATGCAAGACCAAATGCATTAAATGAAAGGATCAAACTAGTCATGAACGACTATATTAGCTTCAGCGAACATATGCAACGGGAAAATTTTACAGGCCTATAAATATGCAACAATATCAAGTAAAAAAAAAACAGAGGCAAGAAGCAACGAAAGAATGATTATATGCCTTGCCCTGGGCTTTCGATAAAAATAAAAAGAGTGATATCAAGCCCATGAGAAAGAGACCAGAGATGAACTTACATAGTCATTTGTACAATGTAATGTTGTATTTTTATCTCTATAGACTAAGGTGTTCGAAAATGTCAGTGATGGACTAAACCTTAGTGAGTGGTGTAAACTTATGTATCATCTCCATGAGAGTAACCCACACACTCAAAATCTTTGTAAAACTAAGGTAGCAAACCTTAGTGAGTGTAGGAAATTTCCAAATCCTCTCTGTGAGAGTAATCCAAAACACTTAAACCAAAACTCTCTAGCAAACATCGTAAAGCCTGAAGAGGCTAGGAAAAGAATACTTGTAAAGCCCGGAGGGGCTTGTCAAAGAATACTCACTGCTAACCAGAAGTGGCTGATAAGAAAATACTAGTATTGGTGAGTGAAGCTGACGGGCCAGAAGTGGTCGAGAATACTTGGAGAACCAGAAGTAGTTTAAGAATACTAGCGTTGGTGAGTGAAGCTGACGGGCCAGGAGTGGTCGAGAATATTCAGGTCCAGGAGTGGACGATAATACTCAATGTACTTCATTTTGTATCTAGTGGAACCCTTCAACTTGAAGGAGACTGGACGTAGTTCAGTTGAGTGAACCAGTATAAAATGATTGCATTCCTTTACCTACTTAGACGCAAATCTTCCTTATTGATGAAACTTTTGTGAAAGACTTCGTCCAACGTTTATATATCTTGAAAACAACTTTTAGACGAAGACACTAACCGAACCCAATTCTGGTTATCAAGGCCATTATTGGATTTTTAAAAATCTTTTCTTTTTCCAATGTTTTAAGTAAAACATTGGCGGCGACTCCATGAACTCATTTTTCAAAACCATTAATTAAGGATTAGTCTGGTGTTTGGGCATTCCTTAATTGATGAGATCTTTAAAAGGATGTCTAAACCATAGGTCGCAAGATCGAAAATTTTCTGGTTGCGACAAGTATAAGAAGGAAGAAAAGACAAATGTACGAGCACTTATCCACAAATCAAACTAGCGTGTGTCAGAACAAGTACACCTACCAGCCAGGAAAAGACAACACCTCTGCAGCAACAATACCAAGAAAGTATAAAATATCTCAAGAAGTGCAGATTCAGCAAGCAAACATTAAATGCTTTTTTGTGGGGCATTGGGAAGCTATGTGTCCCCTCCCAAGCTCTTTTTTCGGAAAGCCAATGGAAATGGGGATAAAACTCCAAGTAGATGAAAAAATAAGACCAAGGGCATAGGGACTAATAGAAAAGGACCCAAGAAAATATAGGTATCAAAATCTTAAATAATCTCTATTGTAGATATCCTTAATGGGAAGAAGAAAGGATTCACATTGGTACCTAGATAATGACTGATCACGATAGTTACTAGTTTTGCTACTAGTTTATTCTTCTTTTTTTACATCTTTGATTTTTGTTTTTGATACACTTCTTAC